GCACAACACAAAAAAGGAAGACTCAAACTCAAAGGAACAAAGCTAGGTAAGTACCTGTAATCGCGCAAACTCCCCCAAATTTTGCCTTTCACACTTGGCTTCAACGATGAACACAAACGCGAAGCAACGAGTACTATTTTAATGGAGCCCACTCCATTTAAATAGTCACCATCACGTCCCTTCAGTATCCAAAAGCCTCTTTTATTTATTTTCACACTCTTCGAGGGTGCTGTCTGTTCGTATGTATAAGACCCTTTAATGAAACGACACCCCTTCATTATTAGCATACAACTGTTAAAACCCAAACGTCTACTTAATCTTTATCAGTCCGACTCTTCGTGTACTATTAAGCTCTTGCACTCTTACATCGTTTAGAGCTTGGGGGGCTTATGTACTATCCTAGCTACAGGGCCGAGATGACCATAATATTACTTTTACTGTAAAGGCTAATGAATGTCACCTCGGCATCTCGGCACCTCGGCATAAGGTACTATGTCCATCTCGACATACGAATATCATTGAACACATTGGCATATAGATAACTTAACCGCAATTAACCGACCACAAGTAACGGTACAACAGTTACAAGAGGTAACCGTAAACGATATGTAATAAGATAGACATGAATGGCATCGGACATAAGAGCATGCAAAGTCCTTGACTTGGTGATGTTGGACCCTAGTTAGGTAGCACCAAGCGTGATCAAGGCAGAGGCTCCTTGTCTAAATGACGTTGGAAGCCATTGAGGTGATGTTGGACATGAGTCAAACAAAGACCCCCTACCTAATATAGGGCCTGACATAAGTTTTGTCATGTTAAGCGTGAGGTCCTAGAGGATCTCCACCTCGGTCACATTGAGTGCATTTTGGATAGTGTTGGGCGTGAGCGAGGCAGAAAGCTCTCTGCTTCAATGGCGTTGAGCATAAGGTATGTTGCATCGAGTGCATGATGCCTTGATAATGGGTATGTTTTGGAATGTTGCATGATGAACATAAGTAGATGTATGAGTTCTATTACATGTTGTATGAAGTATGGAGACTATATTTCGATGTATGTTGATTGGATATGACATATGTAGAAGTTTGTATGGTGTTGGGTGATAATGAGCATATGATGATGTATATATTATGATGTTTATATGTACGATGTTGTTGATTTCTATATGTATTAACTGGATGTGATGCATGTAAATGATGTATGGAAAGGTGTGGATGTTGAGAATGTGAGATGACACATTATTTGAGGTGTATGCATATGATGTACGTTATGGTGTGGTCATATGCATTGTTGGATCTCTTGTGAGACATGGTTTGGATGAGATATATGTTGACTTTGGAGTGTTTAGCTTTCATATATGGTTGTGGTATGACGTTGTATGATTATAATTGTTTTTTTATGTTTACATGTTTTTAAACTCAAGCTTACCATTTT